AAAAAAAAAAAAAAAAAAAAAAATCCTACTAGTGATGGAAAATATATTTAAAGCATAGAAAATATTTTTAAAGCAAACAACACTTTCTTATAAGCAAGCACTATTTCACTCCTGGCCAAAATCTGAGTAGAAAACAATGTTTGCCAGTTTACAGTGCGATGATAACTACCATTTAGACAACAATCCCAATATACATCAAGATTTTAGTTCTAGCTTCTGAACCAATGTCTATTTTAAAATCAACAGACTAAATGAATTTTACATCACTGTTAATGTTAATTTGTAACTGATATATATATATATATAGTAACTATTAACTAGAAACCTTTAACAAAACTTATCAAAATAAATGTAAAATGATGCCTAACTAACGCAAACTAGAAACACCTTCAGAACTGAACGTCACAGCTCTCAACTCATCTACAGAAAAGCACAGCATTTCCGAGAAAACATTTGTAACTGCTGGGGATCACAGCTGCACCTCAACGTTCAGGTTTACACCCCTGCTATGTCAGTAGCTGGTATGGAAACACCACATTTAAAGTAACAAGAATAAACATAAATCAGTGTTAGCAACATTTTAAAGTAACACATGGTCACAAAAATTTGTAGCACAGACTCAAAGTATAGAATAATATGAAGTGTAGAAACAATTACATATTCAACGTTATCTGAATGTGTTGTATGTGATATTAGTGCCCCCTGCATACAAACTTTAAATAGATACATATGAATTTTTTAGTTCAGAAAAAAATGAAAATTGAAGCTGAAATCATTACATAAAGTATATCAGGTTACTATTAAGAATGACAAATACCACATGCAAAATACCTATAAAACAGTTTTTTTCTATTTAGCCAAAAACGGAAATAAGTGGAAAATTATGATCGGCCATATTTACAGTAAATTCTGGGTATGGAATTGTTTTTGCTTTTAACCACCAACCCTCCTACCTCTCCAGCCCCTCTTTAACATTTTTAAACAATGCAGCCTGCTTGGATTTTTCTAACACAACACAATTGTATCATAATCACGAGAACATATTTTTCCCAGAGAGTTTGATTTTTTTATTATATTTCTAGAAAGTAGTTATTCTTTGATTTGAACAGAAAGCCTTAAATTTTTATTATCAGAACTTACCAGCCTTTTCCTTTGTAAATATCATGCCATTACTTAAAAAGCCCTCGCTGCATTAAGGTAATACTTCATTTACCCAATGTTTTATTTTGTGCTTTTAAACAGCTCTCTTTTATGACCCTTTAAAATCCATAAATATGCACAATACGCACACATACACATACCTATTTCTGAATTCCACTTTGTTCTATTTTCTACATCTATTCTAATTTATAATGAATTAAATCCATTCTTGACTAATTTATACAATAACTGTCATTAACTGATGTTATTCTTACTTGTGACCTTTAGAAACCTATGGCCAAATGCAGCACCACACGATCTTGAACAGGTGTCAGTTAATAATAAAATGTGAGCTTTAGCACTGTTTTCATACAGTGTACTAAGAGCCGCAAGAGGCCTGCAAGCACTCACAGAAATTTACATTTTAGAAGGAACTTCACGGACATTTTTAAAATGTTAACAAGTATCGTACAAGTATTTTTACATGTACTTTTTTTTATAAGATTCTCAAGGAAAGTAGTGTAGTAATGCTAATATAGGAGTAGGACTAAATATAAAAAAAAAAAAAAACAAGAATAACCCCATCTAAGTGCAAACACAGGTAAAAATCCACTATGTTTTCAAAATCTTCAAATTATCAAGATTCATTCATCCAGAAAAATTGTTTTTGTTTGGTTTGGCTTTTGTTATTGTTGCTTTGAGACAATTCTGTTACATAGCCCTAACTAGTTTCAAATTAACTATGATGGCCCTGAACAGTGAGATTAGAAGTATGTGCTACCAAGCCCAGCCTTCAGGGAGAAAAAATTTTTTAAAATAATTCATAGTTAAAAGAAAAATTACTCAGGGTTGGGGATTTAGCTCAGTGGTAGAGCGCTTGCCTAGCAAGTGCAGCAAGGCCCTGGGTTCAGTCCTCAGCTCTGTTAAAAAAAAAAAAAGAAAGAAAGAAAGAAAAAGTATTCAAATTATTTCAAAGTATTAAAAAACATGGAAATTTCTAATTATGGTTTATAAAAAGAAGTATTATTAATATGTGGGAGAAATCCTTCATTTAAAACCAATTTTAATTTTTAAAATCATGGCTAGCTCAGTTCCTAGACTGCTTACCCTACAAGCCAGGCCTAGGGTTTGGTCCCCAGCAGGACATAAGCCAGACACGGTGGTACACTGTAGGAATCCCAGCACTCGGAAGATGGAGGGAGGACCAAAGACTGCAGATCACCCTTAGTTACACAGGGAGCTCAAGATCAGTTTGATGAACTGTCTTAAAACAAGACAGTTGGTTGTCTTGTTTTAGAGACATCAGACATGATCTCCGGTTTCTACAAGCCCATGAACACACATGCAGGCACACCCGCAAATGTGTGATCACACAATGTAAACATGCACACACAGACATAAGTTGAAGTTACTTCTGGGTTGTCTTTTGAAAGATGAAAGGAGCAGGGCAGGGGCATGGCAGAGTGCACGCCTTTAATCCCAGCACTTGGGAGGCAGAGGCAGGTTAATCTCTGTGAGTTCAAGGCCAGCCAGGACAACATAGTGCATTCTGGGATGGTCAATGCTACACAGCCATAAAGATTCCGTTTCAAAAAAAAAAAAAGAAACAACAACAACAAAAAAGACAATTCAAAGCACATAGATTAAGAAAACCATATTACAAGGACTCTAAAAGCCAGAGTCACATATCATCTCTTGAACAAACAGCAGCAGTCTATTCAGGCACATGCTGAACTAGATAGAGATGCTTCTCTAGAACTCATCCTGCTAGGACCCGGAACTAGTAGACAAAGGCTAAATAAAAAGGGTGGGCAACAGAATTATACTTTCTCTGCATCTACCTTAGATAACTCTTACCATTCATTCTACCAATATCAACTTTATTCTGGACCAGACAAAACAGTAAACTGTGGGAAGAGTAGTGGCCCTAACTGTAAAAAGACTTATGACATCTTCAAGTAAATGCAATTTTAAATTCAACTTGGTGTCTAATTTATACACACTATATTGTATTATATTATATTATATTTATTATACTATATTACATTATATTACATACAGATTTCCTAAGAAAATAAAGAATTTTTGTGAACACAAACTTGCACTTCAAATATTCTACCTTCTGTCAAAGTAGTAACTCAGTAAACCTGAAAAATAATTTATATAAAATCTTAAGGAAATAATAATCATTTAAATCTGAAGTTTTAATTATTTTAACACTTACAGCTTCTGCTTCTGCTCTTGTCTTGAATGTAATTATCGCATGAAGTGAAGAGTCGTCAATCTGACAATCCTCAATTTCCCCATATTGCTGTAAATTAACAAATTATTTCCTCAAAATAAGTGTTTTGAAACATCTAAACCCCCCAACAGCATTAGAAGTAATAAGCATAACCCAGAATACATAATCATCCATACAGATTAAAGAGACAAATAATTTACTTCATTTAGTCCTATCTTCCGATTTAAGCTCTAATCCTATACTTCCCAGAATCAGTGACATTATGCTCTACATGAGAAATAATGAATAAACACTGGTCAAAGCATGAGCTTGCTTACCAACCTTCTTTATTACTCCCCTCAGGACAAGGTAAATTTGTTCTTAAATAGCATACTGAATCACCAGAACTATGAAATTCTAGTATCAATTCCAATAAAAGGAAGAAAAGATTCAGAGAATTTAAGTAATTTTTCCAAGCAGTCAAGCAAATTATCAAGATGAAGGTCCAGGCCTTTTGACTGCAAGTTTAACGTTAATTGAGCATTCCATTATGGCTACGCCATTTAGAATACTTAAATATTAAGCATATTATACTATCACTGACTGGAGTTTGTTGCATTTTTCCCACATAAAGGAAGATTTTTTCTAAACAGCAATTTCAGCAATTCAAAACTATTGCTGTATATTAATATATTCCTCCTACCCCAAAATAAAACTACAGACATAAACTCCTTAAATACAACTTTTTGTGAACTTTATTTAAACTTGAACAAGTTACTTAATCTCTCCAGGTTTCATTCTCTTCCACCCCCCAAAAATGGACATTATCTTGGTGTCAACTTGACTACATCTGGAATTAACTAAAACTGAAGGATGAGGCACACCTGTAAGGTTTTTTTTGTTGATTTTTGTTTTTAATTAAATCATTTGAAGTGGGACGACCCACTTCTATACACATCTTTGAGGTAGGAAAACACACCTTTAACCCAGGTATTTTGACGTAGGAAAATAAACCTTAAATCTGGACCACACTTTCTGCTGGCAGCCTACATAAAGGACAAGGAAGACGGAAGCTGCTCTCTGCCTACTTGCTATCACTCTCACTAGCAAGTCCATTCCTTCTCTGGCATTAATGATTTACTTTTGGTGATCAGCTCAGACATCCAGCCTTGTGAACTCATCAACTACTGGATTCCTAGACCTTCCGTTCGAACAGACAACCAGTCTCAGACTAGCTGGACCACAACCTGTAAGCCATTCTAATAATATAAGATTCATTCTATAAGTTCTGTTCCTCTAGAGAACCCTAACTAAATCAGTAGTGATTCAAAGAATTCCTAACATTCCCTTTAAGTTTCAGCTATTTTTATTACTATAATTACTGGTTTAACTAGATAAATTTAAAAAGCATTTGCTAACCACAACTGTTCTAATTGTCAATGATCTTTTATCTCTCTCCCTCTTATGCTCAGAGATAAAAAAAGCTAAACTTTTGTGGGGCGTTTACCCACCAACCCCACAGTTCCCCAGAGTTTTCTTGAGTGTGAGCAGCAGGAAATATTAGATAGAAGGATTTATTGCAGAGACTCTTGCGGAGATAAACAGATAGAAAATAAAGGATAGCCTCGAGAGGGCCTGGATCCTTTTCCAACGGGCACTGACTGTCTCTGCCTCAAGGTATTTATAGAGACATCAAGGGGTGGAGCAAAAGACCTCTCCCCCAGCACAGTCAAGTGCAGACCATTTCAGACACCTGCACTTAGGCCGGTGGTCCTAATCATCCTCTATGCGGACATGCTGGGTAAAGCCACGAGGAACCCGAGAACAGGCTCCCACAAACTTTGAAATGTGTACTCTTGCTTAACAATAGTATTTTTCATGTGTAAATTACCACTACTAACTTGCTCCATATCTCCAAGTTTATGAAACAATTTCCACACTAAGTATCTGAATATTTATTTCTCAACATCTTAGTCCCAGCAAAATACAATTATTACAAACTGGATTATTTCAGCATACTGATTGCTAGTCCCTGAAATACACAAGACACTTAAATGATCTGGATCTCCTTTCCTCTGTGGAAGTGGGACACAAAGCAGGGAAGAGCTGAGCTGTATCTCCAAGCACCTTTCTAGTTCTCTTTCTCCCCGCCCGCCCCCAGCTGAGGACCGAACCCAGGGCCTTGTGCTTGCTACGCAAGAGCTCTACCACTGAGCTAAATTCCCAACCCCCTAGTTCTCTTTCTTTAAGCCTCTGAATCCATTAGCACAGGGCGCTCCAGACTCCTCAGCCTTGAATACACATCACTTTAGTTATTTCACAGACACCAAGTGTTTCTTTTCAAACTCCCTTTACATTCAGAACTGTAAGCTCGGAATATGAGTGCCAAACACAGAGATATAAATTCCTAACAGAAATTCTAGTTCTCAGCTTCAGTCAAATTTTCCTCCACTGATCTTTTCATCACACTCAAGGGTCAAACATGTCCCTCCAAATCACTGAGGTGTGTAAGTGTTCAATAAGCTGTAGTTTATTTCAACTGATCTCTGTCAAAACAATGTATCCAAAAGCTCTGTGAGTAAAGAGCTGACAATTCTTCCTCTCTCTGATATCATTACCAGACTATTCAGGGTAATACTGATGTTTAGTAACATCAGTTCTGGATAACACTAAAAACTGAAATAGTTAAGATGAAAGAGTAAGGTGGGTATAATCTCCATTCTGCATATTAGCCTAATGAATCCCAGGAAGTCCAAATAAACAATGGATGAACAAAGGCTAGAATGTCCTCTTTTAAGCCATTCTATCATTAGATAAACTCTCTTAACTTACACCCTTGATCTGAATAAGGCAACCTTTAAATCATACATCAAAAATGTATCTTGCTTCAGTTCTAGTCAGCACTATCAAGAGCTTAATATTTACTTTCATATTTAAAAATCTAAATGGTCTATATAACATGCCAATTTTTCTTTAAATTATCAACATAAACCTACTCATAAGGCTTAAATCACTAACCTTATAATATTTAAAGGCATATCTAGTTTAAGAATTATAAGATTTTAGCTGGTTGGTGGTAACCCCACACCTTTAATTCCAGCACTTGAGAGGCAGAGGCAGGATGATCTGAGACTAGGCTGGTCTACAGAGAGAGTTCCAGGATAGCCAGAGCTACACAGTGAAAGCCTGTCTGGAGGAAAACAATAAAAAGAATAATAAAATTTCTCCCAAACAAACAAAAAGACCCTGTTTCTATTTTATAACTAATAATAAAAGACTACTACATATTAAGGAAGCCCTACATATCAATTTCATAATTTTATCTATTAACCTGAGTTACAATTATTAATATTATTTTGCTAGGTGATAAGAAAGTACCGCAAAATGAGGAAGAAGATCTTCTCTATCACTCTCTGTAAATGCAGAAATCTCCAATGCTCTGGGTCGATGATCCACCACAGCATGTCCAGGCACACCTCGTCCTCGACCTCTACCCCTGCCCCGGCCATGAGCTGCACCTCGACCTCTTGTATGAATCCCTCTACCTCGGCCAGATGAAAGAATTCCTCTTTTAGCAGCCTAGAAAGAAAAAAAAAAAAAAAAGACGCAGAGGTTACACATGTGGTAATTAGGCATTTAGGCCTCTAATTTGAAATGCTTAACTCTGTGTTTCTGAGTGTAGAGTTTCAGATTTTGAAATATTTCCATTGGTTTTCTTTATTTGTTGAGCAAATTAGGGATACACCTGTATTAAGTCAAGTGTTACAATTTCAAAAAGGATTCAAATTTTTATGTTGAGAAATTATTTAATTACATAACATTAGAAATTCTAAAATTATTAAATGTGCTCTTTCTAAAAGTATTTAAAATGTATCAATTTTAAAAAGCTATAATTTTATTACATTATTTTCTGTCTCTGTCCACCCAGTAGGTCCCAGGGAACTAATTCAAGTCATCGAATCTGTAAGCAGGCCAACTGCATACACTAAGCCATCTTGCCACCTCACCCTTCTGCCCAACTAAGTACATGCTGTAAGCCAACAAGAACAAGACAAGAAGACTGGTAATGGGATCTCTCAGTTCCTTGAAAAGTCAGGTTAATACAGACTGCAGCATGACCTACATCAATAAACACATTTTTACCCTGAACTATATACCCTAACCTTTCAAGCTTTATATAATTTTCAAATAAATGCTCCTATTTCATTGTCTGCTGACTCCACTGGTTTAGTATGGTTCCTCAAATGCATTATTTCGATCACACCATAGAATACAGACTATTAACATTATACCATACCATTTCTTTCATGTGGATCACTATTACTTCATTGCATAAATATTTCATGAATTCCTACGTTGGCAGTCCTTAACCTCAAGTGCAATTACAGGTTGTACAGTTGTCACAGTCATTTAAGTACTTATCATGTAAGCATGAGAATCTAAGTCCAACCACCAGCACCCTATGTAACAAGGGCATCTGTAGTGGTTTGAAAGAAAATGACTCTCATAGGCTCACAGGGAGTGGCACTATGAGGAGCTGTGGCCTTGTTGAAGTAGGTGTGGGATTGTTGGAGGAAATGTGTCATTGGGGATGAGCTTTGAGGTCCAAGATGCTCAAGCCAGGCCCAGTGTGTCCCTGTGTCTTCCTACTGTCTGCTGATCCTGATGTAGAACTCTCAGCTACCTCTGCAGCACCATGTCTGCCTGCATGCCACTATGCTTCCCTCCACGATGACAATGAACTAACCCTCGGAACTGTGAGCCAGTCCCAATGAAATGATTTCCTTTGTAAGAGCTGCTGTGGTCATGGTGTCTCTTCACAGCACCCTAACATCACAGTGTACATATGTAATCTCAGCACCAGGGAAACACAGACAGGCAGATCCCTGGGCTTCCTGGCAGGCCTACTCAGTGAGCTCCAGGCTCAGTGAATTCTTGTCTCAAAAAACAAAACAAAACAAACAACAACAACAACAAAAAGGACAGTGAATCTTAGGGAAGACATCCAACATTAACTTTTTGGCTTCTAGCCTCTGTACATGCATTAGCACCTGTGCACACATACAACATAAACAAATACATATAAACCACATACACAACCTCAATTTCTAGACAGGTAAATTACTGAGATAGGTTCTTAAACAGGATTTAGGTTCAGTTTCAAGCACCTACATGGTGCTTGACAGTTCCAGGAGATACAACATCCTCTTCTGGCCTCCATGGGCACTATCCATGCATGTGATACACATACACACATATATGCAGGCAAACACTCATTCAAAAGTAAAATAAAATAAAAATTGGGAACAACTCATCTAAAATAAGGTAGTTAAGTGAATATAGAGGTTGAACAAAGGGTGAAATCAATCAAGACCCCTTCCATATTTCTAACTATTTGAGTAACTATAAATACATACTTTAGAAGCAGGACAAGCACAATGATGAACATGCTGATAAGGATATCTGACATCCAACTAAAAACATCAAATTCTGAGTACCAAAAAGTAAACATATAAAATCAAATAAAAATGCTAAATGAAATAAACCAGGCACAGAAAGACAACTACTGTAAGATTTCATTTACACACAGAATCTACAACAGCAATCTCATTGAAACAGAAGAATGGCTATTACCAAGGACTGTGCTGGTATGGAGAATGGGGAAATGTTAGTCAAAATGTACAATGGGATAAATTCTACCATCTGTTGTAAAGCATGGTAAGTACAATTGATGATAGCAGATGATATACTTGAAAAGAGCTAGGGAAGAAAATTTTTAGATATATTTTCGTAAGAATTTGAATATGTGAGGTGATGAATAGATTACTTTGATAACTCATTCCTTGCATACATATATTGAAACATCATGTTATATACCATATACATTTACAATTCTTAACTGGTCAATTAAAAAATATTAAAATAAACAATAAACTTTAAAGGGGAAAGGTTATTAAGATTAAACATATCAAAAGTATGCCTTGCAGAGTATTTAATGACACACATATACTCCCTGAAAATTAAGCTTCAGCAAGCTTATAATTTGGAGATTCAAACTAAAAGACTCCAAGAAATCCTATAGTGAAACAGTATATCCAATATGACCTTTTCAAAATGTATTTGATCTCCAATCTTTGCTCACGAGTCTCTATTAACAATAACAGAATTACTGTGATGAGCATATTCTGGCATCTACTATAGTACTGCATATATGAATATTACTGAAAAAATAAAGCTGAGTCATCATAAAAGACCAGAAAACATCATTTAACCTTTGGCTAAATTACAACAAGCAAAACAGGGAACAGCAAATTTTTGTCCTATTTATTTATTAAAATCATGTCAGAAATTCACAATGATATTTTGCTTTATACATCACTAATGGCATGAAATATTCACATGAAAAAAAATTTTTAAATTAATATAAGGAACCTATTGTTTAGGGTACAACATATAGGCAAACCAGATCATGTTTCAAGAGAATGCAAGTATATACATGTTTAGGATATTTCGTAGCTTTTCTAACTCTTGGGTAAGACATAGCCTAGGACATATCTAGTAGATGCCAAAACTTAAGTCTTTAATACTTGCATAGCACTAAACAGATTTCTACTGCATTATAAGGTGAGAAAAAAAAATCAGTGTCAACAAACTTTTAAGAAAGTATAGTCAAATCAATCAAAATAATCTAAAATGTTAAAAAACAAAAACACCTTAGATTGTGTCAAGCAATGGTGAATATAGGCATTAATATAGTTGCATACTTTGTGATATAATGATTTTTGTTAACATTTTTAGTAACTATTAAGCATCCATGTTTTATAATAGAGATCAATTTCACTAGGAGCATCTCATACAATAAGGTAGTTTATTTTCTCTTTTGAAACACCCACAGCACCATCTATAGGCAAAACTTTAAAAAGCATGCACTGAAACATTTACAGCTCTAAGTCTGTTCTTTAGCAATTCAACACAATATGCCTGTATGACTTCACACATATAAAGACTATTTCCATAAAAATACCTAAAAAGCCTTTAACTGTATTTAATCTCAAGAAGAAAAAGAGAACAAAAACAAAAAAGAACTAAAATTTACTAGAAATGGAGACACCAGGTGTAGAGGGAGAAGCAGTAGGTTTTTCAGGCCAGCAAGATGTCTCAGAGGGTCAAAGCACTGAGTTCAATGCTGTTACACAACCTACAAATGTCCTATGACATCCATATGCAAATGAGTAACCAACAAGCAAATGTAATTTTTTTTTTAGTTTTCTCTAATAGTTTTGTAAAATCAATGAGTCTCTTTCTTCGCACCTATCCCAACACACTCACACACACAAAACCACACGTGGCAGTAATTGTTAACAAGACCCGAAAAACCATTTTCATGTTAACGACTGTATCTGCTCCTTCCAAGTGAACTGTGTAGCTGTAATAAAACCTACCTCCAGCTGTAATTCTGTATACTTTCTCCTAAGTTCAGTGACTTCTTCTCCAGCCTGCATCTTCTTATATAAATCCAATTCTGTGTCAAGCAATTCTTTCTGCATCTGAAAAAGTCATTAATGTTTCAAATAACAATTAATATTCTGAACTTCTGTAAAATTTTTATAAGATATTTTTTCTCATATTCACTTACGTCATTTTTTTTTTTTTCTGTTGTTTTTGGCAGGGGTTAGTTACACAGTCAAGATTCTCCTGTGTTGGCCTCACAAATGTCAGGGCAAAAGGTATGTGTCACCATTAGAACCAACATTTCTTATCTAGTATGTGATATGCTACTGTAGTAAAAGTATCCTAATTCTTATTCTCATTGATTTCCCTAAAATTCATTGTCTATACCACAGCTAAGGTATGATTTCTATGAACTAATAATGTAGTAAGTTCTGGGGAAAAAAGGGGCTAACAAGCAATATGTAGTATTAGTAGGTCTTTATGAAGGTAAACGCATATATCTTAGATTTAAGGATAAAATACAAACTAATAATGAAGGTTACAAACAAGGAGTGGTGTATAGTGTATCAGGGGTGAGGTGGGAGAGAAGTCTCTTATGCGTATCTTTTTATGTACTTCTGACCATGTTGATAATAGTTACTGTAAAAAAAAAAAAAAAAAAAAAAAAAAAAAAAAAAAAAAAAAAAAACTTAAACCAGAAAAAACTGAAAAGTAACAGAAATAGACCTAACTTTATCTAATTAGCAACATTTACAAAAAGAACTAGAAGAAAACCAACATCATAGTCTGACCTAATCTTTAATGGCAGTCAGTTTGTAAAGAATACAAATAAAATTTGAATCCAACTTAATTGTTGAAATCAGTACTGAAGCAATTTTGGAACTATTCTGAATGGATTGTAGGTCTATTTGAATGAATAAACTGATGTTATGAGACCATGTTGTCATTATGGAAATTGGCAGTAGAATATGAATTTTAAAAAAGAATAAACATGTGATTTAGATAAAAATTAGAACTATCGATGTGGTTACACACGCACACATACATGAAGTATAAATACTGTACCACCTGTATTTTATCGTTTGTTACCATTGGAAAACATCTTGCTCATTTGTTTGGATCATTCAGAATAGTATACCTCAATTTTTCCCTTTGCAAATTCTTCAGACAGTGATACTAGGTTACTTCCTGTCATTAACCTTTATATCACTAACTAGTTACAATACATAGCTCAAACTTCTTGACCATACAATCAAGTACCCATAGCACTTTGTCCCAAACTATCCTTCTAAAATTATCCATAATTATTTTCTAATAGCAGATTTCACAAGTGTTAGATGTAGGAGAGTTATGAATAGTCAGATTCTGAACAAAGTATATAGCCAAAAAAACCAAAAAACAAAACCTAAAAATAGTGTTTGATCTTTTTATTTTAAAGCTCTCTTTTTCTAAAGACTTATTTATATTTATTAGGTAGGGATGTTTTGGCTGCACAAGTATCTGTGCACTATGTGCATTTAGTGCACTTGTGGCCCAAAAGAAGGCGTGAGATCCTCTGGAACTGGAGTTACAGACAACTGTTAGCTGCCAAGTAAGTGAGTTGAACCTGGGTCCTCTTAGAGAACAACAAGTACACTTAACCACTACGCCATCTCTCCAGACCAATGCTTGATAGTCTTAATAAGTAGTCATGTGGCTAACAAAATAGAATACCTGAGTCTTCGTTTTTATACTTTTTGGAAGGCAGCGTCCAGGAGATGTAGCTTTGACCTCATCTTTCAACTTGGTAATATTTTTTGTCAAAACCTCTAATGTTTTCATTATTTCTGCTTTATCTTCAGACTTCATTGTTTTGTTTTTCTCCAGTTTTGAAATAAGCATCTGGCAAATTTTAAAACAGAATTGTAAGAGACTTATTCCTACTACTTGTAACCAAACAAATACAGCAAAACAGTTAAAAGAGTACTATTTTTAGTTGACTGTTCATGACAAAGCTGACAATCTACGTGTATAAAGATAGAAGAGCAGACTTGGTTGCTAACAGTAGCGTAATTACAACCAGTTGACTTTGCAAAGAACTTTACTATTAGTTGGCTCTCTTAGAACACAAGATTTGAACAAGATAAGGAAGGTGGGAAATCACATGGAATTATGTTCTCTGAGTTAAGATGGCTTCAGTTTTCTAAAGCATTGTGATTCACTTCAATGAAGTATATCCAAAATAAGAAAAGGCCGTATTTCTAATCTTAATGTAAATTTTTCAGACAGTCTTAATTTGTAGCCTAAGCTGTCCTCAAACTAAGGAATTTGATAGCCTCAGCCACTCCAGGAGCCAAGATTACAGTAATGGACCACTGTGCCCCAACAAAACATTGTCTCTGTAATTTTATATTTTTCTACTACATTACAGAACACATCAAGAACTAATTTCTAATTAAATATCATAAATTAGAGCAATCTGCCCCCAAAAATGTCATCCAAGAAATACCAGCCACATTAAGTAAGTTTTAAAGATTTACTTTATAATTGATATGTGCGTGCAGATACCCATGGAGGCCAGAAAAGTGGGTCTGGTATCTTGCAGCTAGAGTTACATGCAATTATGAGCCACCTGATACTGGTGTAGGAACCCAAACTTGGTCCTCTGGAATAGTAGTAGTAAATACTCTTTAACGACTGAGCCATCTCTCCATGTCCACATATAATTTGATTGTTTTATCAATCACATTAAAAAGATAAAAAGGGAAAAAGTCAAATTAATTCATTAATTTAGCCTAGTGTATCAAAATTCACATTTTAACAAAAAAAATTTCTGAGATTTTTTTTTCCCCTCCATACTATGCTGTGGGATAATGCTTTGTACACTGGTTTAATAAAACGCTGACTGGCCATTGTATAAGCGGGATAAGCAGACAAGGAGAATTCTGGAAAAAGGAAGGTTGAGTGAGGAGATGGCAGCCAGGGAGCATCATGTAATGGTACACAGGTAACGTGGCAATATATAGATTAACAAAAATAAGTGTAAGAGCTAGTCAGTAGTTAGCCTGAGCTAATGTCCAAACAGTTATAAATAATATTAAACCTCTGTGTGACTATTTTATAAGCAGACCACAGGACTGCAGGGCCCAGTCAGGACCGGAAAAACGTCTAGCTACAATACTACATCTTTGAAATTTGGCATGTAATTATCATTTTCATCTCAATTTAAACTAGACACATTCTATCAATAAGATGTGACTTTTGACTATTGTGTAACACAGGAGTAGAGGATCCCAAATTAGTGAAGAACTTATCAACAATGAGAAAAAGATTTCATTTCATTATTCGCTGACCAAACTATTATATAGTAATAGAGCCAAATGAACTTATTTTTCAATTCATGTTGATAACCAGTTCCATATAAACTACACCCACACTTTGTAAGTTTCTTTAACCTCAATGCTAATAAATTAATATAACAATGACACACTAAGTTTTTCACTTTTACCACTACCAATTACAGTAAATCTGCTTTTCACTATGAATTAAATAGGTTAAATTTAGTAAGAATAAGAACATTGGTAATTTTGCCAAATACTTGACTGTTTTACCTTCTGTGTTTCAATGTGCTTTTCTAAAATTTCCTGCTTCCTTTTTCTTACATCCTGCTGAAGTTTCAGTGCCTCCTAAAAGAATCAAAATATCATTTGAGTAATATCTAAAGATAGATAAAGATATATAAAGCAATACAAGAAAAGAAAGGAAGTTTTAATTGAAGAAGTATGGCAACAAAAGTAATACACTAAGTTTCTATCTGTAAAGCATAGAATATGTATGCTGTCAACAACCAAACACAAGAAACTTCCCTTCACAGAAAAAGGGGGTGGGGGAGAGTATTTATCACTACACACAGATCAATCCAACTAGTCTTGGGGTAAGTGCCTTAACACGCACACACGGGCACACAACATCACACATAAAACACACACACACACACACACACCCCAACTATAAGGGTCTTCCTGTGTGCCGATTTTATATGTTATACCACCTCTGCTTACCTGTTTCTTTTTCTGTGCTTCATTATTATCAACTGCAGGGGTAGAAACTAGTAAAGTTTTTTGTGCAGCCTTCAAAGCAGCTGGATTATACACCGTTTTTGTTAGGCCAGTAGATGTAGACAACACCTACCAACACAAATTCAATTTCTTAAGAAAAAGTGTTATCATTCATAATTTCTTAAGTCTTGCTTTCTCAGAAATTCAAACTTTAAAGTGTTTCTGCCTAAAACTAGCATGTTGAACTAAATGTATTATATAGTCACAATAACTAAATCACATTTCATGACTTGAATGATATGACTGATAATAAGCCCTAAAACAAACAAAAAATTCCTGGTAACTTAATATCTATAACAAAAAAGCAAAGTCGAACATGTAAACCATGAAATCAAAGGGGAAAAAAAAGACTGCTATTACTGTATTTCTCAGAAAATATTTGTGAATATAATGAAGCAAAAAAACAAAAACAAAAACAAAAAAACAAAGAAAAGCACAAGAGAAAAAGTGAATGTCATCCTACAAACACTTTAGTATAATCACTATAATTTATTGTTCCAAAATAAATGCAACAATCATTCTCCATTCCCTGCAGGCCACATTCTTCCTGCTTGGAGTGATCTTAACCTCTTAAGCCAAGTTCAGATGCAGCACAAGCCAAAGCACTAATCATTTTTCTTTTCTGTCCAATACTTACAGATTTTTATTCCTTAAGCCATGATATAAAAATAACATTCAATATTGTTAGGTAATATCAACTATTTAATAAAAACAAACAAACAAAACCTGATAGTAATGTCTTCCTATCTACACTGCAAGGCCCTTGAAACAAAAACCTAGTTTTTCTCTTCTTTGCGATCTTGAATATAAGTTTATTAACACAGAATTATGTGACTTTGGTTCAAGTAAACTTGAGAGGTGGGGTAATCTCAGTGTGCTCATCTATAAAACTGGGAGGTTCATCTTGATAGTATCTAAAATACAAACTCAATGAGCAGACATTATTTCTTCACTTGGTTTATCATTATACTGTTAGTATCTAAAACAGTACAATCACACATAATAAATAATAATAAATATTTTCATACCAAATTAAACAAATGATTATAGATTGAATACCCGTTAAAACACAAGGTTTAATTTTTTTTAAAAAAAGAGGGGGGTACAGTTCTGACAGGCAACGTCCTTCCTTCACTAAGTTCCATGAGGTGATGGGTTCTTAGAAAAGATAGTATCAACAGATTCTATAAAATCTAAACTAGTAACCATACACCATGGTTTTCCAGAGAAAATGTTATTGTTTCTATTGCCTTAAGCATTCCTGGGCTAGAACCTGACACATAAGATGTAAAAGTATAAACGAGAAATATTACCCTATTTTTTAGCTATGTTAACATCTGGTATAGCATAAATATAGCAATCTGGAGACCACTTTCTAATCTTCCATCATGAAATTAGAGGAAAAAAACATGGGCAACTCATTACTCTTCCAAGCACCTATGAATGTCTCAAAATCTAAATGAAATAAAAACTGTCACTATTCTACCTACAGAGAGCACACCTGATGTTTAAAAGGAAAAAAAAATACATATATCAAAATTTCATGTGTAACTTTCTTCAAGGTTAAAGACGGTCACATATCACTAATAAACATGAAACAGTAACTATGAAGTACCTGCATTCATTAGAATACAAAATACAGATTTAGTTTATAGTCTAACTTTAGTGACTATTGTGAGTAATTCTGGAGAATTTCTTTGATGCTAGTTTACTATGTAACAAATTCTAAAGTATATATTTTAAGTACTTTAAATATAATGTTTCTTCATATGAATTCCTTAACAAGTTAAACAGCTATGAGTAGAAAAAAATTTTCCACACTCAAATAACTTGGAAATGTACCACAACTATATTTTCTAGTATCATATATATATATATATATATATATATATATATATATATATATATATATATACACACACACACACACACACACACATACATATACACACACACATACATATACACACACACATATATAATAAAATAATCTTTTTAACCATTAGCATCTTTCTTACTACAGTGGTAAGGAGCAGAGCTTTTAAACCATCTTAGCATTTCCTATCGGACTCAGGTGTGCTGGCTCAATGTTTGTATCTGATGAGAATAGAACACTTCTTTGTTTCTACAAGCTTATAACCCCATCCATATTCTTATCCAGTGATTTCCTTCTGCAAAAATAGAATATATGATAAACTGTTCCACAAAACCTCAATCTCAAGGACTCCTATTTAAAATTAAACAATTAAAAAAAAACAGCAGCCGGGCGGTGGTGGCGCACGCCTTTAATTCCAGCACTCGGGAGGCAGAGCCAGGCGGATCTCTGTGAGTTCGAGGCCAGCCTAGGCTACCAAGTGAGTTCCAGGAAAGGCGCAAAGCTACACAGAGAAACCCTGTCTCGAAAAACCAAAAAAAAAAAAAAAAAAAAAAAAAAAAAACCAGCAAAGAGCTTACATTTATAACTTTATTTTCAACAATGGTGAAACATGGTCCAAAGGTGCCAAGACTTAAGATTAAAATGTGTCTTGGATATAATGAACTGTAGGACTACAAATATTGCTTTTCATTTGAATCTATTGAGTTCTAGAGTTTAGGTACTAGAATAGTAAAGAATATCCACGTTTTTCAAGATAAATGTATCCAGACCTGGTGGCAAATGCTTGTAAATCCAGCACTTGGGAGCTGGAAGCACAGTAAAAGCCAGCCTTAGAACTACATATGAAATTGAAGGTTTCCAGTACAGTACTACCATGCTCAAAGCCCTGGGTTCAACCTCTAGCACTGTCAATAAAGAAATTAATAAATACATCTAAAATGCAAAGTGAAGAACGCCGACAAATCCAACAGACAAGACTAAGTTACAATTCCTAAGAATACAAACCACGGCCTTTAAAAGTAAACACAATGTTTTTCATGTATTGTAATTTTATATGGTGACATACTAGCTTAACTAATGACAATCTAATTGTAATCACCCATTGTCTCAACTGCTTGAAAGTTTATTTTGGATTTTCTACACAAATAATAATTATGTCACCTATATATATCAACAGTTTTATTTCTTCTTTTCGAATCCTTACAATGGTTTATTTCATTTTATAACTTTACTGTATTTGTTAAACCCTACAGTAAAAACTGAAAGTGATTAGAGTGGACATCTTTGTCTCATTCTTGAACTTGACAGATGGGGGACAGTCAATATGTTTCACCATTAAGTTTAATGTTAGTTCTGGTGGGTGGGGTGCAAACATTCTTCATCAAGGTAGGAAGTCTCTGTCCATTCCTACTTTGCAAGAGTGTTAAATATTTCACCAAATGTTCTTCTCCCAAGTCATGCAAGGTTTTCATTTTTCTCTTACAATGCTAATGTGGTCAATTAAACACATTTCCTGATGCATCTTGAGTTTCTTGACTAAATCTTTCCTGACCATGATATAGTATGTACTTTACATACCTTGGAAATTACTAATATTTTATTTGAACTATTTATGCCTATGTTAGCCTGTAATTTTCCTTTCTTATAATATCCTTCGCCAGGTTTTGGTAGCAAATATAAACCCAGAAGATGAGTTAAAAGGTCTATAATTTGCTATGCCTTTATTAATATCTCCTATGACCAAGACAAAAATCAACTCTCTAAACTGTTAAGAGGTTATACTCCAGTAATACATTTTTCTTTCTTTTTCATTTAGATTTATTTTATATGTATTAGTGCTTTGCCTGTATGTTACATATATGCACCATGTGAATGTCTGGTGTCCAAGAAGGTCAGAAGAGGGCACTGGATCCCCTGGACCTTCTGAAGTTAGGATGGCTGTAAACTACCATGTGTGTTCTGAGAAACGAACCTGGGTCCTCAACAAGAGCAACAAGTACTCTCAACGGCTGAGACATTTCTCTAGTTCTCATATCTCTATTTCTTATGTATAACATTCCCATCCATACCTAGTGTTAGTAAGTATAAAAACCAAACATTTTCTGCTAAGGATGGGAGGAAAAGACTATTCTGTAAAAAATAAAATTACTTAGGACTATTTAAGTCATCTAAACTTCATTTTTAAAATAACTGATGCTCAAACTGAAATTTAACAGAAAAGGATGTAGCTATGTTAAAGTAAGTAGCTCTAGCAGGTATTATATTTAAAAGCAGAAAAGAGAAACAGCTTAATTTTAAAAGTATCTGGGGCACTGAGGAAGATTAATATGCTCAATGTTTTTGATTAGGTATGTATCTAGTCAGTAAAACGGAATGTTTATTTACAATACTATTTAACAGCACATAGATAATGCATTCTATAACACTGGCCAAGTGAAGAATTCTGGTGAGAAGAACAATATTTAAAGTTTCATTTATAAAGTATTTTGAAAATTCTTCTAACAATATTAGGAACTTCTTGAGAACTTGCCTTAATCAATAGTAACAAATTTTGTCTGCCATGCATAATACATTGTGTGAATGTGTGTATCTCTTGTAAAATGGTTAAACTGAACTAATACCTGCACTGTCTCATATTTTGGTTGAAAGAACACTTAAAGTCATGGTTATTAACTGAGGTCACCTTGTTGTAGTATGTTCTGAAATCATTTTACAACCATTAGCCATTATCTTCATAACTTCCTTGCCCTGGAGCCCTAGTATCCATCATTAAAAATCCACGAGTTCAACTTTTAATCTTCCATATATGATAAAAGAATTAATGATCTTACAGAGAAACATTTTAAACAAACATCAAAGAAAAACTATTTACAATCCAGAATCAATTTTGGTAAAATCTCTAGATCCCAGAAAGTGTAGCCAATCTTTTAAATAAGTCAAATTTTCCTGTAATAAATAATCCAACAAAGTCTTCTCAGAAGACAATGTATTAAAAAATTAAGATAATAATGAGAAAAGCTTACTGTATTCTACCAATCTTTGGATTTATATTAGCAAAACTGTATATCAAATCAAAATTTAAAATCAAAAGGCTATGAGCATCTCTATTTTATAGTCAAGAGAACTTGTTTAACGTCATGGCTAAAGGAAAAACTGAAATGTTTACAAGAAATGTAGCTCAATTATATCACACAACTTCTCATTTAAAAAAATTCCAAATACAAATGTTAACTTTCATTATGAAAACAGAATAATATATATCTCGGATTTAAAAAATACATTAAGCCAGGTGGCAGTGGTACACGCCTTTAATCCACGCACTCAGGAGATAAAAGCAGGCGGTCTCTGAGTTTGAGGCCAGCATGGTCTACAGAGTGAGTTCCAGGACATCCAGGACTACACAGAGAAACCCTGTCTCGAAAATACCCAAAATAAAAAAATTTAAAATAAAATTTGAAAATGAACATCCTATGATGAATTTAGTAACTACAGCTGGTATATAGATACCATGACATTTGAATGGTGGGGTAAATACACTCCAGGAGAAGTACCACAAAGAAGCTAGAGCTAGACTGAGACAGCAACATCAACAAAGAGAAAAACGGTGAGCTAGAAAAGAAACTGGATGAGAACAAGACAGAAACCTTGGGTTGGAGGACACAAGACAACACACAAAAGTTCCCTCACGGCAGATAACATATACTGCACAGCAAAAGTAAGTAAGAACACTACTAGGGGGACGGGGGGCTATGAACTGTGAACTAAACAAAGTAATTATAGCCAATACATTCAAATTTTCTATAATAAATAAACATTGGAATAGTACTGACAGAATGGCAACAAGGTAAAATTTAAAGAGGAGAAAGACAAGACACCAGCTAAGAAAAGGCACCCAAAGCCAGAAAACTGAAGGCAGTAGAGAAAAAGTAGTAGACTATAAATACATGTACCGTGCCCTTAAGGCTTTAAGACTATACTACTCAGACAACCATTTCTAGAGGTAAGGACTAGAAATTAAAATGAACTTCTATATGGAAAATAATTCATTTTAGGCACTGACATGCCCAAGAGGAAGGTCTGATGCACACTGAGTTTCAAATTCTAGAAATGCCAAAGTTTACCAAAATAAATAATAAACAAAACAGTACTCTAAGAACAAATGGATGGCAGGTCAGCTAGATGCTTGATGCATTTTACCGTGAACTTCCTCTGTAACCTCCAGACTAGAAAGAACATGGACTATAAATCGGAAAAACACACATTTTGTGGGGCTTTGCTATACGTAGTCTTGTATCATTCAATTCTAATATCCTATAGTTTCATATATTTCAAACAAAACAATGTTATCAGGGCAGTCCCTAATACCTCAACATGAAAACAATATACATAAAAACAACATTCAGAAGAAAGATCCATAAACAGACTTAACAATCTGCATTTACCCTCTAAAAAAAAAAAAGCGAAGAAAAAGTGTACTGTAAAGCCTTGTATAAATAACTGTCAGCAATAACTTTAAACTGCCAAAAATAAAATAATTGTCACCCTTCCCACTTACAGATTACTTAATAAATAGTAAATAAGGCAAGACACATATTACCATCACCAGCCTACCAATAAGTAAAGATTCAGAAACGTTAAATGCACTGCCAATTACCATGCAGTTAGTAAACAAAGAGCTGGGGATCAAATTCTGACAACATTCCTAGCTCATGACCCTTTCTATTACACTACCAGAGTTTTCAAACTAAAATGCACAATGTCTCTTTAGAAAATAAACATAAAAGAAAACAAAGAATGGAGCACACAGAAGTAAGAGAAGCGAGTATTAAAATGTGATGTAAAAAAGGAGGTAGCTAGGGTAATTTTTTTTCCAGCAAATAAGAGTAAGAGCTACCAATACGATTAAGAAGCAGGAGTTTGGAGCTATGAAAAAAAATTACAAATGAAGATGCCACCTGGCAAACATTTATGAAGCCAAGACAAACACATCATGCTATTCTTACCTTTTCAGTTGCTGAAACAGATGGCTTTGATACAAAACCCAACCTGTCCTTCACAGATAACTTAGTTACATTCTAAAAAGATTAAAACGGACATATTCAGTGTTTCCCCAAACATATATTAAGTCTGTTGGGATTTCGAACATCCTGATTCTACTAATATATACTGAGTTTGTGCATAACAATACTGGCCACAGAGATTTGGGCCTTAAAAAAAAATGGGAGAGAGAAACAAGGAGAAATTAGAGGAAGGGGAAAGGAAAAGAAAGGACGAGGAAGTATGTGTTGATAACAAAAAACAGTCTTTAATATTAACCATAACAAATTACAATGTATAGTCTGTCCTCAAGTAGTTAGTTCCTAAAGTCCCTTCCTGGAAGTGTACATTAATATGCAGAAAGTCTGCACATTTTAAAATAGATTTGAACATTTAAAGTATAAGCCTGCTTCATAAGCTTAAAAATAAGTATCATTCATTCCTAAAATGTTTATGATTAAACACACTATATTTAGTGATTACTTAGATATAATTTAAAAGTAACAGTTCATCAATCTGCATTGTAAACCTTCATATAGAATCTCATTATCTTACTCTATGGCATCTATTAGTTAATAGGACACTACATCTGAACCCAAATTGGTATGGCACATCTTGAAACAGCTGGAGAAAAAGGAAAGTAAATTTCCAAGACTGAGAGTGGAGACACAAGAAACTGCCACTCAAATATGGAATTGGGAAAGAAACGACATGGAGAAGAGAATCCCAGTCAGCAGTAAGTGATGCAAAGTTCTAAGCAGGGCAAATGAGTTCTTAAAACAATATATCATCAAATACATGTAACCTGATGGCTTAAGTCTTCCCTTCTCAAATGTTTTCTGTTCACTCTACTGCATAATTATCGGGAGATAGAACTCTAAGTAAAAAGATAATAGAAAAAGTAAGATTTAGTATACTGAAATTCACTCTCAGGAAAATTTGTTTAAATACATCTCCACAAAGTGAAAAAGAGGCCTTTCTCTTAAGTATTAACTAGGAAAAAGAAGATTAAACTCTCTAGCAGAAGATAGTGAAAATGTTATGGTAAAACTGGTGGAGTTCAAAAATATAAATACCATATTTCTGTGTAGAACATACATCATTTACTCCAATTCTAGTCACCAAGGATAATTGATTGACTGAGCACCTACTTGACAGACCTGTTGATAAACCTCCTATTTACCTGGGGAAGCTGGGAAGTAGCACTCTGGGCTTCGGCCGGTTCAACAGTACTGGAAGGCACAGGACCCAACCGCTCTTTGACGGACTGTTTCACAGCAGGTAAAATAGGCTGCTGAACTAACGGCTGTATTACCTCAGAACAAGAGGAAAAATTAAAACAAGCTAGTTAGTAAAGGAAGATAAAATCCAAGCAGGGTGATTTTGTACTCAGGCACCCATATAAAGCAAGTTTAAAATGTAGCTTATAATCAAATTCAACTATCTTTCAATTCTTCTCAATGTGTATAAATTTTCTTTGTAAGAAATGAATATAAAAGTACAGAAAAATAATTAAATCATCCAGACTATTCTATAATATCTCAGGAGGTGGGGAGTGGAGGAGGAGTGGAAGGAAGAGAAAGAAAAAGAATTCCGAAGATGATTGTGTAGTTTAGACTTATAAAATATATAGCCATCACTTAATGAGTGATTACTTCCCAGGAACTCTTCTAGATGTTTTACACACACCATCTACTTCTCTAATGAAAGAATAGTTTGGAGAAGTTAACTTTCTCAAGTCTCTGGAGTAGTAAAGCCAAGTGTCACATGAGTCAAAAGCCTCTGCTTAGGCACTGTTAAAAGACCCAAGAAACAGTAGCCTTCATACAAATTTCTCTGTTACCTTTGGTGAAGTGGTCGGTAACTGCTGAGTAGTTCCTTCTCTGTGCCAGTAAACCTTAATAAAGCGGTTATTCAATACCGCTTCTGTACTTGAGATTGCTTTCTTTGCTTCTTCATAAGTTGCAAATTGGATAAGTGCACCTTCAGGATCACCATTATAGGCAACCTAAGATTTAACATAATGAGGACAATTTACTTCTAAAGGAATATATGGCTTTAGACAGTCAATTTCTCAAGATGTGAAATGCTGGACGGTCCAAGTAAGAGCTTATCGTCACAGCTCCTCACACCTATGCTATCTATAAGCACGCCAACTTTGTCACTCTCACAGTTATTCCAAAGAGCATGAAAAAGCTCTTTCTTTGTATGTGTTTATTTACTTCTTTGTTTAAGGGAGCAAGAGAAAAGCTTTTTTGGGGGCCAGATCTGAGTAACCATGACCTGGAAAGACAGATTTAGATGTCAATGTAGAAACAGTTTCATACATTTTTTAGTTTTAAAGAACAAAGACAGGTCAAAGTAAGTTATTAGTGCCAACAGTTCTGGTAAGTGGTGTGAATCTTTGAAGAAGTGAGGGCAGTGCTATGTCATCAGATCATACAGAGGAGCTGCCCTTACAAGCTGTGCTGCATAGTTTGATGTCAACTTGACACATGCTAAAATCATCTCAGAGGAAGGAATTAAGAAATTAAGAAAATGCCTCCATAGGCTGTGCACAAGCCTGTAGGGCACTTTCTTAAACCAGTGACTGATAGGGGAGGGCCCAGGTCACTGTGTGTGGGGCCCTCCCTGGGCTGGTAGTCCTGAGTTCTATATGAAAGCAGGCTGAGCCAGCCAGTAAGAGACACTCCTCTATGGCCTCTGCAACAGTTCCTGCCTTCAGGTTCCTGCCCTGCTTGAGTTCTTGTCCTGACTTCCTTTGATGATGAAGGGTGATGTGGAAGCATAAGCTGAATAAACTGTTTCCTCCCCAAGATGCTCTGGTCATGGTGTTTCCTCACGGCAACAGTAATCTTAACTAAGACATCAGCTCTCAGGGACCCTTGAGCTCTCACAAGGGAAAGCTGTAGGAGTGAGTCTGAGCACTGAATCCCTCCGACCCACCTCTATCTATGCCTCATCATAGACCAAACCAACAGCATCACTTCACCTTACAATAATAGCTCCTTTCTTTGTTAAAAGTTAGCCCTCTTCAGGTACTTTATTATAGTGACAGATAAGATTATTTGAATCAATTTTCTAAATTTCTCTATAAAAACTTTCTCAAGTTCTTTAAATAATTACTGGCAATAATACCACTCAACACCTCTTACCTGTAAGTTAACCAGCGTTCCAAATCGACTAAAATGTTCATTAAGTTTGCTGATATTATTTAATTCTGGAGGAACTTTCCTAAGTTCAAGTTTAGTATTTTCGTTTCCAAACTGAACCTTCTTCTGGAAACCGGGGCTGTTTGTCCTATTAAAATTTGGTCTGTAAGCAAAAATCAAGTGGATCAATGTTTATAAATGCTGACTCCAACTACTAGAAAGGAATAATTTTTTACAAGTAAAATAGATGTTCTCAATCAATTTTTCTCCAAAACAGGAAGTACTAGTTGATAAGGAAATTTTAAGTTTTCTTTCAAACAACAGTTTTCAAATTAGTGGTGTTGGTATCTTTTATGGAAGTCATCTGAGAAGGTTCACCATACCCCTTTTAATTTTGTTAAATTATTTTTACCAAAAAAGATACTACTACCTACATTAGTCAAAATATACTTACAAATCTTTTTCTACTCTGCAAATTAGCTTACTGAAAGGTATGTCATTTTAAGATTTCTTTAATTTTAATTTTTGATATAAAGATGACACCTCAACCTATTTCCAGTTTAAGAAGAAATAAAATTATTGGAAATATACATGACACTTTTGGCATATGAAAAAATAGTGTCTGTGATCCAATGAAATTACCCTTTCCCTTTTACCTTAAATCACAGATTTAATCATCACAAAACCAGATCTAAAAACTACTCCTTCTGAACTATTAAGTATGGCCCTAATCTCCCTTCATGAATGAAAATGTATAAATGTAATGTCACACCCTCCAATATTCTGGCTTTCTTACTTTCTTCAAAGTTCTTTCCTGATCTACTCAGTGCCTCTTCAGACTCCCCACCCGCCTAAAGCCCTTTGCAGATCTTAACAGGAAATGCCTGAAGTCTCCACCCAGATCTTCTACATCCTTTCTCCTATAATGCTGGGCTCATAACTATCCTGTGCACAGCTTCTACTCAATAATACGTCTAACATGTATAAGGGGTTATTTCTTTTTCTAGGTGGAAGAGAAACCAGTAAAAAAAAAAAAGTGTCCTACATTATCACACCACTTTTCTAAGAATATAGCTTTGTAGTGCCAAACCAAACTCATAAACTTAGAGAAAACAACCAAAACTGTAGCCGAGGACAGCCTACAGATCAGTATAACTTAATTTTTTTAAGAGAAAATATTACATAGTCATAATAATACAGCAATAATCAATGTACAACCAAATTTTTCAATATTCTGTCAGCTTACTTGTCAAACCACGTCTTCTTTGTAGAAACTCCAGGTTCCCCAGACCCAATGGTTCTTTTCCTTGATTCTGAATCCACTACTATCCTCATACTGCTTTTATTAGGAGGCTTTTCTGTGTCAAAACAAAAGAAAGTAGACCTTAATAGTTTTTTATTTATCTCAGCTACTTCTATGAAAGTGTTTAGGCTTTCTATCCAAAAGAATATATTTTATAAGCAAAAGGGTAAATACACATTCAAATACAGTAGTCCAAGGCAACTGTAGTCTACTTCAGATGTTTTTATTTCACACTAGCTCTAAGACTCAATAAAGCTCACATGCCAAATGTGATTCTGTAGGCTACTTCTTTAAAGGCAAAATTCATGCCACTCCTCCAACTTGCCATCACTCTCATCACAAACCAAAACATAAGTATATAAATAAGTCACCTTGAGACTTTAAGTTCATAGTCTTAAAGTCAAAGGCACATTATAAACAAACATAACAATCAAACTACCTTTGCAAATTAGCAAATTGTAATTATACTGCTTAAATTGCAACATATTAACATAATTGAAAATATATTTTAAAAGAAATATTCAAGACTGAATGTAGTGCTAGAGAATTATAAACCTCTATTAACCAGTATTTTACAAACATTCTGCTAAAGCAATCTTAGTATAAGCTTGTCTTACTTTTTATGTAGCCTGTTGTCTTAACTGGCCTCTACTTCCAGATTTCTCTGGTCAACTATTTAAATATAAAGACAAAGGCTCCAATCAATGTCCCAGAGCCCCGCTGCTTTCTTTCATTTTCTAGTTCTCCTATGATACTGGAACATCCCATCAACACTGGCTATTACAGCTCACATTCTCCTACATTCACATTACACCCGGGAAAGTTTCTCCTTTCACTACTCTACTCTACTTTCTCTGTCCATATCCTACAGCTAGTCCCTAAGAGATTTCTGCATTGAACTATCTCTTCTTCCTTACCACACTCAGTCATTCACAGGTCCTCTGAAAACTAGCAGCTGCTCACATTTCTACACTTAAACTTGTTCATGGAAGAAAAATAAATAACTGAAGTCACTATTTGATACTTAGAGAGTATGAATAGTCAGGGGTTCTTTCAGTATTTATTTATGTATGTGTACTTTGCCTGCATGTATGTACACCATGTATATCCCTGGTGCCTGCAGAGAAGGAGGCACCAGATGTGAGCTACCATGTGGATGCTAGGGCTGGAATCAAACCTTGATCTTCTGCAAGAGCAGCAAGTGCTTTGAACATCTTAATCAGCTGTCCAGTCCTACTTCTCAGTTTTTACCTAGCCTCCAAGAGACATTTGCTGTTGTTGATTACTTCCCCTTTTAGGCATCACCAGTTCTGGATTTTCAGGAATCCCTTTTGTTTGGTCTTTGGCTTCATTGTTTTCAGTTCCCCATAGAAGCTTGGCTCCCTCATCTCACTCCATTATCTATCTCCCTAATGTCCTTCTTTATCTGCTCTCATTCATCTTTCCTTCCCATTGTTTCTCAGGAGTTCGGGGGAATATGGGGGAGGACTTGAAAATAAACAAAAAAAAGCCTGTTTGTTCCTATGTGAGTCAACCATGCAGGACTCAATGCAGACCATTCTATCATTCCTTACCTCCATATTTATGATTCCAAAATAAATAATTTCTCATCAGCAGTGTTCATGGAACTCAGACTTTAAATTTGGGTATTTCTAATCAGATGACTTACAGGCATAACAACTAAACACTAACAAAATTAAATTTATTTTTCTACCAATATGCTTTTTGTAATAAATGGCACTATCACTTTGCTAATTACCAACACAGAAACTGGTATTTGATTTCAACCTTTACATTACTCTTCTAAGTGCCACATTTAGTAAATCATGTTGTCCGTTTTCTCTATTAAATATCAGTCTTCTCAGTTCCCACTGTTGCTGCCCTAAAGCAGCTGTCACCTGTTTTCAAATTCTTCCAATGTCTTCACTGTCCTGTGAACTTCCACCCCTCCTCCTTCCTTTTTGAGAAGTGTAAGTCAGGTATACTTTAACTGTCACCTTTCTCTGGCTGACTGACTATTCAGTGTATTGTATGAATTGTTTGTACGAATGCCATGCCATATTGATCTCAGTGGGAAAAGATGGTGTCGGCATTAGTGGTGCTCCAAGTGCCAGCTGTAGTTTCTGTGTGTATTAGTGCACTCATGTGACCAGCTCTCTCTCCAACAGGACTTAGTCCTGTATACCACACTTAGCTCACTGGCTCTTTTAGAGAATCTCTAAGCTATCCAATATCCTTTTCCACTTTAACATACTTCTGTTATCTGAAAGCTAAGAAACACAATAAAGTGTTTTTCACCCAGTAACTGATGTGTTTGCTACACCTATTTTCTCTTTCAGATTCACTTTCATTAAGATTTACTTCAAAATAAGTATTAAAAACAAAGAAGTGCCTCATAATACACAATTAGCAATATATCTAATAATCTACACATACCATTTCCCACCAATATTATCGGTTCCATATTGTTTTTCTGGTTAAAACTGACAGCACTGGATAGTTGCCTTAATCTATTAAACTCTTCTTCCTGCCTATATCCACCTGTGGGAACATCTATCCAGTTCTCGTCCTTAGAAATATAAGCAGAATTTTGAGGGCAAATAAGTCATTCTTGTATTAGAATTCCATAGCATCAAAAGGGCCCAAAATGTTTTATTTAATGATTACCCCATACCAAGATTGAAAGTATGAAACCTAAGTCTAATTATCAAACAATATCCCATGACAAACTAATGCCATAGTTCAGGTTACCAGAAATGCATAATAATTAAATAGTATTACTACAAGCTTTTGACAGATTCCAATAAATAACAAAACCTCAAATTATAAGTAATCCTAAATTTTCTGATCCACATAGGTACTGTTATTTAAGTTGAACTTTTATATGCAACTGGGAAGTTTTGATATTTTTATTCTACTTAAGAAAGCAAGAAAAAATTGGAATGTAAATTTCAAATGCAATCATCAAGAAAAAAGACCTATTCTTGCCTCCATAATAGTTTGTCTAACAATCTTTCATCTCCTTTATCATGTTATCTGTAACTGCTACTCTTTCAAACTGAACCATTGCCACAGTTTGAAGCTAGTAAAGAACTTTTGCTGGCCTGGCTCAGTCTAAACTCTAGTTTTTAATAATTTAGCTTAAAGATCTGTCTCAGAATTTAAAAGATGAGTTAACTGCTACTCCATATTTCCTTTTGCTAAAAAATGTGTCAAATTTTAACATGTCAAGTGTACAAAAAAAATTGCATATGGAGCACAAGTTTTAGATAATTTCATCATCTAAACTAGGACAGTGTGGTGATATTGTGTTCCCCAATATATTGTGCACCCTAATAAACTTATCTGGGGTCAGAGAACAGAACAGCCACTAGATAAACATACAGGCCAGAAAATGGTGGCACACACATCTTTAATCTTAGCATTCTGGAGGCAGAGATCCATCCGGATCTTTGTGAGTTCAAAGCCACACTGGAAACAACCAGGCATGGTGACATATGCCTTTAATCCCAGTTACTGATGGCAGGATGCAGAAAAGTATATAAGGCGTGAGGATCAGGAACTAGAGCCTTGTTAAAGCTTTTAGGCTTTTAGCAGCAGTCCAGGTGAGATCCATTCAGATGAGAACTCAAGAGGCTTCCAGTTTGAGGAAATAAGATCAGCTGAGAAGTTGGCCAGATGAGGTTAGCTGTGGCTTATTCTGTTTCTCTGATCTTTCAGCACTCACCCCAATACCTGACTCCGAGTTTTTTATTAAAAAGACCCTTTAAGATTCATGCTATAGGACAGACTTAAGTATTCTATCTTACTCTATAATCAGTGGTTCTCAACCTTCCTAATGCTGACTCTTTAATACAGTTCTTCATGTTGTGGTGACCCCTAACCATAAAATTATTTTCGTTGCTACTTCATAGCTTTGATTTTGCTACTGTTATGAATTATACTTTTGGAGTATATACAAAAGCAAATACTTTTGGAGACAGAGGTTTGTCAAAGGGGTCGCAACCCACAGGTTGAGGCTCTCTGTTTTAAGTGAACCAGAAAAACCACAAATGAAACAAAGAGTAAGAAACAAACAAGTTACCTGAGAAATACATGCTTTGGGGGAATTTCATAAATATATATGGAACTCATGACAGACCAGAGACCCAAGTGAGAAAACCATCATCATCCCTTCTTATGTTTTCCACCTTTCTCTGTCATTTGCTTGTTTGGCTAGAGATCAAGCAAGGGCCCTGTGCATGATAATCAAGCATCCTGCTACTAAGCTGCACCCCATCCCGCTTTCCCACTATTAACACTGTGAAATAAGAAAGACTGATCATGATACCTCTAGGTGGTAAATCCATATCCCCTGATGTTAGTCCTATCAAGTTAGGCCTTTGCGCATGCACTCTGTGTCTATACATCGGTCTGGAAGTGTTTGTTATGCTTGGTGCTTCAGGATTGTAGCCATCGGTGTCATATGTATCTGGTAACACAAAAACTGTAATTAAACAACAATTATAAAAGAAAAATTTGGTAACTTTAAACATAATTTATCATTAATAAACAACATAAAACTAATGTTTTAAATATATGATAGTTCTATAAAAACAAAAAAATGTTACCAATAGAAGTCTTCTAAAAGATCTTAATTGAGTAATTTAAGATTAATTCAAGTCCACTTTGCACTGTGTAATTTTAGTGAGAATTTCTGTCCCGTATTTTAAACTCACTAGGTATTTTTAAAGCTCCGCTTTAAAACTGTATTACATTATGAATTTAGAAGGGACCAAAACTGCACCTGCAGTAAAAAGAGAGGGTGGAGCAGGAGGAGGCTGGTGATGAATGCCAGTTGTTACTACAGTAGGAACAGAGCTGGTTGCAGAGTTGGGTGGCGCATCCATGCCAGATGGCTGTAAAGGAGGAAGTGGAGGAGGTGGTCCTGTCAAAACCAAAGAATAAGAAATATCATCTGAAAGCAAACAAATGAAATAAATTATTATACATTCAAACCTAATATTCTCTTTTGTCAACTGAAATGTTTTCTATAAAGAATAAGCTCTTACAAGTAAGTTAGCTTTTTAATGGCAAATATTCTTTTTAATCTATTCCAAAATAGGTTTGCTGTAAACTATTAAGGATTATAAATCAGAGGGAGTATTATCGTAATGTATGTAAGTCATAGGCTTTTACAAATCACAGTAGTGACTAGTTTATTAAAGGCTGAATTGTGCATGATATTCCAAATGGGGGTATGCTTGGTTTTTACCAGGTATGTTTGGGCTTACTCTAGAAATTGTTAACAAAACAAACATGAAATTATTAATTTCATAAAAGACGATGAAGTGAGCAAATATAAATACTAGTAAATAAGTTAGTCTACTGACCTGTGACAGGTGGCAGACTGGGTGGTAATGGACCTGGAGGTGGCACTGGGGGTCTAAGATTTACAGGTGGGGGTGTAAGAATTGGAGGAGGTGGAGGAAGTCCAGGAGGTGGTGGTCCTTCCACAACAGGTGGCTGTGCTGGGAAAGGCAACATCCCAGGCAGGTTCACATCTTCTACCACGACTGGATCACTTCCATGATCAAAAGGACACATGTCTCCTCTCATACAAAACCCCTTTTCTGTAATTAAAGGATTACTAGAAATAAATGCGAAAAGCTCTGGAAATACAAATTAACTCTAGCTAACAAACAGCATATAAGAGTATTTTTAGTAGTGAACAAAATGATAATTTACACTTTCAAAAGAGCTCTCTTCATTCCTAATAATATAAGCAACTATCAACTAATAATATGCCTAACATACAAAATAAAAAATAAAATTTAAATAAGCATACTAAGTAAAACAATATAAACTTACATGTAACTTCTGGCAAATATTTATCATTAGTTAATACATCTATTACTTACATCTCTCATTTTACACTAAAACCATATTGCAACTATGCTTTCAATACTAAACATAATCTTAAATTCTTATAAGTCTTTGAATTGCCTTGAAAAAAACTTTCATGGGATGTGTTTACTTTATGTCCTACATATTCCAATAATCATTGATTTCTAAAGAATGATTTGACCAAATGTTCAAGTGAGCAGATTTCTTGAAAAGTAACTCAAATGGTATTTATTCTTTTTTGGTAAATTCTAAAAATTTTATAAACAATCGAAATTGTTAAATAACAGTGAACTAATGGAAGATGATACGGAATTCATAAACTGATAAAAACTAATCTGTCCTGCTGTGGGATGGTCTGTATGTCAAATTACTCTGATTGGTTAATAAATAAAACACTGATTGGCCAGTGGCTAGGCAGGAAGTATAGGTGGGACTAACAGAGAGGAGAAAAGAAAGAACAGGAAGACGGAAGGAGTCACTGCCAGCCGCCACCAGGACAAGCAGCATGTGAAGATGCTGGTAAGCCACGAGTCACATGGCAGGGTATAGATTTGTGGAAATGGATTAATTTAAGCTATAAGAACAGTTAGCAAGAAGCCTGCCACGGCCATATAGTTTGTAACCAATAGAAGTCTCTGTGTTTAGTTGGTCGGGTCTGAGCTGATGTGGGACTGGCGGGTGACAAAGATTTGTCCTGACTGTGGGCAAGGCAGGAAAACTCTAGTTACACTGTCCTTTTTATATCATAGATAACTCCCTTTGAATTATTATACAATCTAAACAAATAATTTAGACAGAAATATAAATTTCTGCCTACAAAATACACAAAAGAAATTAGGCAAAAATACAAACAACTCCATCATAAAACAGCTGAGTGACTCACCATCATAATCTCTACACCGCTTCTTTGGCATTGGTGGCCTTACGTAAGAGTTGTGATCTACCTGGTCTTCATGAAATTCAGACCAACTTTCGGTAGTGTTATTACCATGATGAGTAGGAGCGATTACAGTAATGGTGCTGCTCAAAGTCGGTACAGGATAGTGGCCAGATGAAATATTAGATACTGAAGAGACTGGTGTATAATTATTTTCTAGTGGATCTGTTCTGTCCAGGTCATATTTAGGTTTCACCAGATCCCTTTCTGAAATAAGATATAAATAACTTGTAAAATCACATTTAAAAAAAAATCCCAGATCTTAAAACCACAGTGATAGTTTTTGCTAAATATATAAAACAGTTCAAACTTTGCACAAATGTTCTCCTTTTAAAAGTTACTTAATAACTCACTGGTCAAAGTGCAGAAAATAGGTGACTGAAGTGCTCAATCCTACATGGGACGGCTATGTCACAGCCTTTCCCAAGTATCTAAAAAGGAGCCAGAAAGACTGTAGAGCCACAATTCAAGGAGGTTGTTAAGAGCCGGAAAACTGGTGTAAAATAATGTCTTCCGGACATGATAAGGCAAACCCTTGAAGTCTACAGAGAGAGATCAAGGACAGGCACCAAAACTACACATAGAAACCCTGTCTCGAAAAAAAACAAAAAAACAAGAAGAAAGAAAGAGAGAGAGAGAGAGAGAGAGAGAGAGAGAGAGAG